CGGTCCTGGAGGCATTGTCTTCAGGACAGAGGAGAAGGTTGAGGTTTTCGCCAATGCCATGGAAAGACAGTTCTCTCCCAACTATGATCTTGATAATGACCTCGACGAGGAGCAACACATCGTAAGATCTGTCAGGAGATATTTTAGGGCCAACGGCGTCAGTGACAGTCGCGCATTCGTTGGTGATTTTTCTTCATCAGAAGATTCTTCTTCAGAAGCTTCTTCAACCGAAGATTTGCTTAGCACATCAGCGGTATCTCCTGAGATCCCGCATTGCACACCAGCAGAGATTCAAGGTCATATTAAAGACCTTAAAGTGCGTAAAGCACCTGGGGAGGATCAAATCACTAATAAGGCGCTGAAGCTGCTTTCGCGGAAGTCCTTAACTTATCTCGTGGCAATAGTCAATGCCATGCTCAGGATCCAGTACTTCCCATCCGCGTGGAAGACCGCTGAAGTTATAATGATTCCAAAGAAGGTGGGTTCGATATTTCCCCAGGATTATCATCCCATTAGCCTGCTGTCAGCTGCGTCTAAGCTCGCTGAAAAGGTGATTCTACGTCACCTTGAGAATTTCTCGTCAGATCACCATGTGATTCCTGACGTGCAATTCGGTTTTCGGTCTGAACATAGTACGGAGCTACAGGCGGTTAGGCTGGTGGAACGTGTAACCAGAGGATTCACCCTTAACGAAAGTACTGGCATCTTGCTTTTGGATGTCTCAAAAGCATTTGACAAGGTGTGGCACGCGGGCCTCTTGTATAAACTAATCCAAAAGGGCTTCCCTTTTTGGCTTCTAAAACTACTGAAATCCTTCCTTGAAGGTAGGAAATTTCGGATCAAAATTGACAATGTGCTGTCGACAACACGGCTGATTACAGCCGGCGTCCCTCAGGGTTCGGTCCTTGGACCTATCCTTTACTCACTGTACATCCATGACGTCCCTAGTCCCAGCAACTGTGAAGTCTATCTCTATGCTGACGATACTGCATTGGTGGCTCAGTCGTGGTCTGGTGACCTAGTCCATGACAGGCTGCAAAGTGCGGTGGAAGAAGTATTAGATTGGGCGGATCGGTGGCTAATTAAAATAAACCATTCGAAAACACAGGCAATCTACTGTACAAAAAGACGTCGCGGCGTTCCGTCTGAAGTTTCAATGAATGGACTTCGTATACCATGGGAATCCTCCGCTAAGTATCTCGGTGTCATTCTGGACAAAGGGATGACTTGGCGGAACCATATGGAAGCGCTAAAAACTAAATTCCAAATTACGTTTCGGCAGCTTTACCCATTATTATGTAAACGGTCAAAATTAAGTTTGATTAACAAGATTCGACTCTATAAGGTGGTCATAAGACCAGCAATGACATACGCATGTGCGGCTTGGTGTTTTATTGCTAAAACACACATGCGAAGTCTGCAGGTTCTGCAAAGCAGGACGTTGCGCACTATTGCTGATGCCCCATGGTATGTCTCTAACGAAACTCTACATAGAGACCTCGATGTCCCTTACCTAAAGGACTACATTAAGCAACAGGCGCAGCGGCGCTATAGCCTAGCGGAATCGCACAGCAACCCTCTGTTGCGTGATTCAGTGGACTACACAGTCGAGCAAGTTCGCAAGCACAAAAGGCCGCGGCTCGCACTGTAATCAAAATTAACTCGTGAACTTAGAACAACCAAAATTTGAGCATTTTTATACAATCTTTAGAAAAAATCAAATATTTTTAGACCATATCAAAATCTGTGAAGCGATTTTAACAATGCCTAAACGCTGCATATCCTAAAAGATTCTCTTCTTCCCCTTTGCTCTCGTTCTTCCTTCTCTCCTTTCCTTCCCCTTTTTTCCTTAAAATTGTCTGGTTTCTGGGTTACCAGACCTGACAGACTTACAAACTGACACTGTGACTCAAGAGCTAAGGTCCCACGGACCGCTCTGACAACCAACGATGACTTGACTCAGATAATGTCAAAGAAGAATAAAATGGTTTTGCGATTTACCAGATATACCAGATCATTTTTTTGGTATAGCAGGTTTATTTCTTTTCAAGGCCTACCTAGGGAATTCTGTTTTTTTTTAATATCTAAGGTTTGGCAATGTCAATGTATGCACGTTTAAATTGAAAACTCTCTTCATTTGTGGAAAAATACAATATAGCGTCCATAAGAAAAAAATAAGTTGTTGCTGGAGTTCAGGAGAGGAAACGTCAAATTAAAACTCTGATTACGCCGTCTCGTAGTGGAGAAAAAGTGGTAATGTTGTTGTACAATTTATTTAAAAATCCCACTACAAATAAAGTCAGGAAAAAATTAAAACGATTTTGGGAAAATGCTGTTTTTTTTCTGTCACTCTCCGGAAGACTAATTGAGTTTCGAAATTATCTAAGCGGCATTTTGTTAGTTACCTAAGGGCACGACTTTACCCCAATTTATGCGACTTCGTATCTCTTACAGTTTCCGAGACCCCAATGATGAGTGTCGGAATTGAAACACCTTGGTAATTCTACCACCTATTGACATATTTCACACATAAAGATTTCTCGGTACATTGGCCCTTAAAATTTGGAATATTTTCAGCAGACACATCGCGTACCCGCCGGCCAGGTCTGCTTCATCTCACGGCAGCGTCTTGCCGGCCTTGGTGAGTGATCTGTTATTACACGTATTACGTATAATGTTGCCTGTGCTGTGGCTACATAGAACCGGCAGGGGTGTTACGTAAAAAACCTCAAAAACGTCAAAAAAAACGAGAAAATGTCATCTTGCAGACTAGGTAGTTTTTAGTGTGCAACTAGTTCATTCCGCGTTTGCCTGCTATGATAGCTGTGAGCTATCAAAAGCGTCCATCTATGGAGGAATGATCCAACGACACGGCCTGCACTGTTGGTTGCAGAAACCCAGGGATTTTCTTTTCTTATCTCTCTCATTTTAGAAATTCAGCAAATATGCATATGTAATTTCCAGCATGAACAAGAAACACTGGCTGCGCAACTAATTTCTAGCTTTGGACACATCTCAAGTAATTTTATATTTGAGACAAAAAACCAGTGGAATTATCATCAACACAGCTATAGTATACAGCTTACAGCTTAGACCTCCAGTAATGCTATCTCTGATGCAAATGTTACATCAAATCAGAGCCAAACATTGATAGCTGAAATACCATGACGTTTAGGCAACACGTACTGCTACAAAACAAGGTCACAACAAGTGTACAATAGCTAGTGCTAAGTTGACATCTTGAAGAAGAAACCTATGTTATGTCACAAAAAACCTACATATTATCAAATAAACGACAAATTGTCACTTTTCAAGATACGTAATACCCGTGCGGCTGGAGTATTATGTAAAAAACCTAAAAAAACCTAAAAAAAAACTACAAAACGTCATCTTGCACACTAGGTAGTTTTTAGTGCACAAATAGTTCATTCCACGTTGGCTCGCTATGATCGCTGTGAGCGTCCATCTATGGAGGAATGACTCAACGGCACGACATGCTCAAGCATGCATTGTTGGTTGCAGAAAGCGGAGTCTTTATCCCTGAGTTGTGAAAGAGAAAAAGTTGGTTGAGATAAGAAATAGAAATATCATCAACACAGATTGTTACGACAAAAATGTTCACTTTGCATCTATACACTGCCGTTTCCTTCCAGCTATAGTATACAACTTATAGCTTAGACCTCCAATAATTCCATCTCTTTACAGCTATACAACGAGTTCACAACAAGTGTAAAACAGCTAGTGCTAAGTTAGCTAGTTAGAAAAACCTACGTTATGTCAGAAAAACCTACAAAATGTGAAAAAAAACAGATAAATGTCACTTTTTAAATACGTAGTATCCGTGCCGGTTGGATATCGGGGAGACGCGACGTTGCCAGATGGACTGAGGTAGAACAGGAAAAGAGTGTACATGAACCAATTGTATGGACCAGCTTGACTGATTTCTTTCCCAGAGGGTCTAGTTGTGCTGGTATTGAATAGTTGCTTATCGTGGCTTCGCTGCGATTGCTTTCGGTCAGATATGTTGTTGCGACAAGTGGTACAGAACAGTTGTTAAGAGGGTATTATCTGTTAAGAACCAATAATGTGTGACGTAATACTTTAGGTTTGCAGCCAAAAGCAGTTTTGAACTAGTTGAGAACTAACTATTTTTTTTGGTCATGCCAGATGTACGTAAGCATAGTTCGATGCCCGATTTTATTAGTAACGCAAAAAGCGCAACCAATAAGATGGGTCACCAAAACGGGAATTTCATCAAGCTCTTCTGGACGAAAATATAGACGTAGCTTGGTTGCAGAAAACATTACTTAATATGGGGGATCGTAAAGTTCTCCCGAAATATGATGTTATCCGGACTGATAGACTGAATGGACGAGGCGGTGGCTTGGCAGTGCTTGTCAAACGTGGTATTGACTATTACAGAAGCATAAACGCTGAAATGCTTAGCATTGAAGTGGCGTCTGTGGTGGTCAATAAGGCGGGAGGCGTTCCATTGAAGATCACTTCGGAGTATGTTAGATGTGGTGCCAGGCTGCAAGAAGAGGATCTGGTCCTTTTGGACTGCGTGGGTCCACTTCTTGTGGCAGCGGACTTCAACAGCAATCATAGAACCGGTCATTCCAGGTTGAATTCCACTTTGCAACCATGTGGTACGAAATGGATACCCTATACACATACATTGACTGCGCCATATCCAGGAACTGAAAAATACAGTTTCACTTCTCGAATCATGTATGATGAGCAAACCTTAGAGGAAATCCCTCCAAGAAAACGTGTTGATCGGGAGCTGCAGATTTTTTTATGCTCCAACTATCACGAAGGCCTAAGGCCTAAGCACCCATTGTGTACCGTGGGGCTATAGGAGGATACATGGGAAAGGGGGGACGCCACACGGACTGGCGAGGAAACACGTGTGCATGCAACATGCACACATTCTGGCTCCGCCTACGAGAACCGCTGGATGGTACCTCCGCGTTTGACAGTCAGAGACCATCTACCACCTACGGATAATCACAACATCCATAGCCAAGAGAAAAATTTCTCCTGGGACGGGACTCGAACCCGCACAGCGCACGGCGACTGATCAGGAGACCGAAGAGTCTACTACTGCGGCCACCGCTGCTGCCTGTTCAAACGAAGTAGACAAGTTCCATTGAATAAGCTCTACAGCGTGCAACTGTGCTTCCAGGATAGCAGAGCGGCAGGCCCTTTCTCTATGTGGACATACGTCAGAAAATTTCTGACAAAATATCTGCAGTTAAACAAACGAAAAGATCTTGTCACCCAGATGACATCCGTAGATGGTCTCTTGTCCATGAAGTAGAAAACGCTCTTCATGAGTTCTGTAACGAGCAATGGAGCGATTTTCTAGCGGGAATGTTCGATTCGAGTACTCCTCTCTGGAATGTTGCGAAATCGATCAGAAATAGCAAACTACCGCATATCCACGGTCCTGGAGAACTGAGGAAAAATCGGAAGCTTTTGCTGAAGCTATGGAACGATAGTTCTCATCCAACTATGATCTAGATAATGACCTCGACGAGGAGCGACATATTGTAAGATCCGTCAGGAGATACATCAGAGCTAATGGCGTCAGTGACATCATGCTAGTATTGGGGGATCTTCCTCAGATGACTCTACAGAAGATTCCTCAACAGAGGATTTGCATAGCACATCAGCGGAACCACCTGAGATTCCGCATTGCACATCAGCGGGGCTCATTGGTCATATTAAAAACCTCAAGGTGCGTGAAGCACCTGGAGATGATAAAATTACTAATAAGGCGCTGAAGCTGCTCTCTCCAAGAGCTTTGACGTATATCGTGAAAGGAGTCAATGCTCAGGACCCAATATTTCCATTGAAGGTGGCCGAGGTTATCATGATCCTAAAAAAGGCTGGTTCGATATTTCCCCAGGATTGTCGTCCTATTAGTTTACTGTCAGCGCCATCTAAGCTCGCTGAAAAGGTGATTCTCCGTCATCTTCAGAATTTCTCGTCGGATCATAATGTGATTCCCGACATTCAATTTGGGTTTCGGTCGGATCTGCAGGCAGTTAGCGTGGTCGAGCATATAACTAGCGGATTTAACAATGACAAAAGTACTTACATCGTGCCTCTAGCTGTTGCGAAGGCTTTTGACAAGGTGTGGCATGATGGCCTCCTCTATAAATTAATCCAAAAGGGTTTTCTCTTCTGACTTCTAAAGTCCTTTCTCGAAGGAAGGACATTTCTAATAAAAATTAACAACGCACTGTCAACAACAAGGTCTATGAGAACCGGTGTTCCTCAGGGTTTGGTCCTTGGAGCAATACTCTATTCTTTGTCCATTCATGACGTCCCTAGCCCTAGCAACTGTGAAGTCCATCGCTACGCTGATGACACTGCATTAGTAGCCCAGTCCTGTTCTGGTAACCTGGTCCATTACGGGCTACAATGTGCGGTGGAGAAAGTGTTAGAATGGGCAGATCGGTGGCTGATCAGACGCCTTTCTAACAGTTGTTACCCTTTGCTCTCCCTCTTTTTTCATTCTTTTTTCTTTCTGCTTTCTATTAATCATACCTGGCTTTTTTGTGACCAGGCCGACAGAATAGCAAACGTATTTTGACACAAATGCAAAGGTCCTTGACAGACAATGACGAACAGAACGAACAGAGCTAGTGTAACTTTGAAATGGAATCATATCCCAACTAACAAATATACTTTATCATTTTAAAGCATATTGCACTCAGATGGTACATTGAATAATTTATTATTATATGGTTATCATTAGCACTGTCATAATAAAAGCTATGGATGCTATGATAAGCAGCTTTCAGCACAGCCACCAAGTTAAATAAAGGCTATTATTAAAGGCTATAATATAAAAATCATAAAACAAAACAATGTTTGTAAAGCATTTATCAATACGTTTATAAAACGAATAAGGTATTCAGTTTTTCGGATACTTCCGGAACGTCTTTAAATTTGTTTAATTTTAACACAAGGTATGATTGAGCATTAAAATCCACATTCTTGCCGTAATTTAACCGACCTTGGAAATATAAAAATTATAAAACATCTTTCCTAGCTGGGAAGCCGGTTAAATTAAGGCAAGAATGTGGGTTTCAATCCACACCCGGTTTTAAAATTATACAAATTTAATACCGCTCTAGAGTTATCCAGAAAAATGAATGCCTTATTCGCTTTATAGATGTATTAATAAACTTTTTTATACCGATACAGCCGCGCAGGCAGAATGCCAGGATACCGCGGCTGCTATAAGGATCCCAATGAAATTTTCATAATCTGATTTTTGAACTGCCTTAGGTTAGTAGAACTGTAAAAAGCTTCCTTTTGTAGATTGTTCCAGAATCTCGACACCCTCGGGACAAAGCAGCGGTCGTATTGGCCAGTTCTGGATGTACGACACGTTAGGACGGGAGGACGAAGTCAGGCGGGTCTGTCTTGCAGGCACATCGCGCGGCATCATGGACGAAACTCTGAGGAGCAAAGCCCGTTGGTGTAGCGGTAGAAAAGAGATAGATCGCCGACGGCCCGCTGGTGCGAAAGGGTCGTCTCGAGAGTGTCTCTTAGAGAAGAGTCGTCGATTAGTCGGACAACCCTCCTCTGGATAGCATCGAGCATAGATAATGTAGTCGGGGCAGCAGCACGCCAAGCATGTGAGCCATACTCCAGGCTAGGTCTTATATGTGCCTTGTATCGAGTGAGGATGTCATGTGCAGAAAAGTACTTCTTAGCCTTAAACGAATAGCCCAGTTTTTTTTAATAAGATACTGCAAAAGTGCTGAATCACGATACTTCTCCTAGCAGATGCGAGAATACCTCCTGGGCTAATTCATAAGCAATACCTAACGGGCCAATCCTGAGCAAAATTGTTCACAGTACGCTCGTGAGAAGTCGCAGCACTACATCTTTGACCGAACCCCGGCAAAAGAAATTAAATCAGAATAGAACGTTACCCGCTAACATCTGTCTGCAGGTTCAGCAGCAAAACAAATTCAATTAGCTTTGGAAGCGCGAAATTTATCACATCACTAATATTTATTCGAAATTCATGGGAGGATCTCCCGCCGTGCTACTGCCACTTTTGTCTCATATTGAAAGATGGGCGGGAGAAAGAATGCCGCATACAAATTCGATGGAAATGAATTTTCGCGGACAGATTCGGCGTATGCATCATTGGTGAGGAATTGAGGAGACGTTTCCACTTCCCACGCAACGAGGCGAATCTTGAAATCAAGATTCTGTTTTCTTACCTTACACGCCTTCTGGCGAGGAAGTATTGTAATCGCGAAAGTGTCCACCAGCCTTTGAACTTGTAAAGTACCGCTCGGATTGGTATGTAACATTCACACAACACTACTGCTATGCCAAGGACAAAAATAGTTTTTGAAAATCAATCTAGTGGCGGCATAGGACAAAACACGAAGGAAATAGCTATTGATCAAACTTCTTTTTTCGACGTTTCAGAAGCTCCTGATTATTCTTAGAAACATTTTTGCGGGGGTTGAAAATCGGGGTTGGCAGTTGTATGGGATGAGATTTTCTCATTTTGTTGGAGGCAGTATATTTATATGCGTCCAACCCCAGCAATTTTACACAACCAACAGCACTCATTTCACACATCAACGAGTTCCTCGTGCATTTGTCCTTACAACTTAGAACGATAAGGGATATACGCCTTTCTGGTCTCTGGCTACCTAGAAATATTCATAGACAAGACATTCTGCCGGTCGGGATGATGGGATGCAACCGCAACTTTCATGACTTGCGTCTGACAGCAGCCCTGCCAGGTGGTCGAGGGCAGGGAAAAAAACTGGCGTTAGAGATATCTAATGGAGGGAGACTATGAGGTATGTATACATGTGGGTCTGTCAAATTTCTAAAATGAGATATTAAGTTTCTTGGATATTATATAATAATAATAATAGACGTCTTTATTTATCCACAATTACATTGTAGTATAGCGAAATGTCAGACTTACATGGCAAAGTTTAGCATGCTGCTACTCTCACACTTAACCATATAGTCTCTAGCAGATGTTCAAAAGAATACACTATCCACAAACAGATTTGGTTCATTACATCGAAAGTAAAATTTAAAAAAAGAGAAAAAGGCATACTTTCCAAACCCAAATGCATCAAAAAATTATTAACCTGAATGAAAGATGGAATAAAAAAAAAATGAATGATTACGTAAATTATATGTTTGGAGGGTTGAGTAATAATGTTTTAACTTTTTGTCGAAAGACAGGTAATGAAAATTCTTTATATACGTTAGGAAGGTCATTATAAATAATAGCAACATTGTAAGAAAACCTGCGTTTAAAAGTTTAGACGCATGCAGGGGTATTCCAAGATTATTTTCTCTGAGAGTTCTACAGTGAGCATCATTATTAAATGAAATTTTTTCCTTCAAGTAATAAGGTTTAGACGTGAGCAGCAACTTATGAACAAAAACTGAATAGTGATACTTGACCATGTCAATAATTTTAACCAGTTTAGAACGGGATATTTCGCTGATGATCAAATTTACGTAAGCCAAAAATGAATCGTATACAATTGTTCTGGATAACTTGAATAACGTTTTTAGTGAAATTGTCTAAACAAGCCAAAAATGAATCGTATACAATTGTTTTGAATAACTTGAATAACGTTTTTAGTGAAATTGTCTAAACAAGTATAGTATACGATATTACAATAATTAAGTATAGATATGACCAATCCTTGGCACAGTTTTTTACGCAACTTAAAATTTAGTAAATACCAGTTTGCTATAAGAGTGCGCAACCGTAGGTAGGTTTTCTGAGATAGACTTTTAACATGTTCAGTAAACCTTAATTTTGTATCAAAAACAACACCAAGAATTTTTGCAGAATCAGAAAATTGCAGGATTTGGTTATTTATCTGAATGTTCAAGACCTGTGTTACATTGTATGTTTTTCTTTGTGCGCAAAATAATAACATTTTAGATTTTTGTGGATTAATACGTAGATTGTGATCTAAAGAGTATTTAATTAATTTATTAACATCGTTTT